GGTACCTCTGGTTTTGAATGCTTCTGGTTACAAACACTTCAGGTTATGAGCTCCGCTAATCTGGAAGTAGCTGCTCCTGCTTGTGAACTTTGCCCCAGGATGTGAATGGAAATTGCACGTCTCTGGCGCATGCACAGCGGGAGGCCCCATTAACCAAAGCGTGCCTCAGGATAAGAACGGTTTCAGTTTAAGATCGGAAATAATTAAGTTCGTAACCAGAGGCACCACTGTAAACACAGGAAATTGGTACTTGGGTTGAAATAAGCCACAACTTTATTGATTGCAAATGGCAGTAAGTTTGGCCAAGGCATTTGGTATAGATCCAATATCAAGCAGCCCACCTGCTGGTTGATAAAACCCTGTGAGGTTGGGCCTGAAGTTGAGAGTCACCTCTAACATAAATCAGGTGCCATGACCCCATCCAGAGGTGTTCTGGCCCATTGGTCCCCACCTTGGCTCCGAGACAGAGACACTCCTTCTGGACCCCTTTGATGGGTACCCACTCAATTAAGGATCCAAGCCAATGCATTGCTCACCAAAGTTGTGACAGTTGCTATGAGGTAGGTGAAAACCTGAAGACCGGTCAATTTGTCAGCATGAAAAATACTTCCTTGACCCTGAATATAGTGACTGAATAAACCATAGCAAGGTCCAGTGCCATCCTGCCCATTTATCACCAAGCAGGTGAATCCTGTGGTGATCTCCCAAGAGGGTGACCTGCAGCAGGACACCCTATTAAATACAATAAGCGCATGCCTGTCTCACCTCCCTCTCCTGATGCCTCTCACCTCCCGCTCATGAGGCAGGACCTAGTTGGTGTTCCAACATGACTGGGAAGGGGAGGTGCCAGGCATCTCTTCCCTCATCCCCTGGCTGTGCAGGAACTGCATGCTCTCCTCTTCCTGAGACCAGGCCACAGACAAGGCTGCCTACCAACAGCCCCAGTGAGTGGTATTAAGAGTTGAGTTGTGCACTGATCTCCACTCAGATTAAGTGGTTGCAATCAAATCATTGGATTGATTAGGTGACAAGCCAATGTGTCACAGGTATGTTTTATATGGAAATGCATCAGATCTGAAATAATTTATCTTCAGGCGCCTGGAATTCCTTCGTTTCTCTTCTTCCTGCCCCCTCCCAGAAAAAAAATTGTTGGCTGAAATCAACACCTTCCCTTCACATCCTTTATTTCTCCCACAAACACACCTTGCAACAGTTTTTGTTTAGTTTCATTTTGTCTTAAATGATATTAGTTCTCAATCTCTTTCAGTGTAGTATGTGTGGTGTCGTGTTTAGAGTGTTGGACTACAGGGGGAACCTGGAACTCGGTTCAATTCTACAACGTGACCAGGAAGATAACTGGGTGAGCTGTTATAATGAGGACAAAACAGGGGAAGGGAACCATGTACACCATATTGAACTCCTTGGAGAATATGATGTACATAAATGGGGCAAATAGGGGTGTAAGGTGGAAGAAGTTTCCATGCTGCCCTGCATTCATAGCAACCAGCACTGTTTCTGGCCTTCTACAGCTCAGCTTCTGTTAAAATCTGCTTTATTTTTCTCACTGTCTGCTATGATCAAAACACATGTAATTAATTGCACCATTAATTTCTATGCATTTCCATGGAAGGGAAGCAGCAAAAACAATGCAGTAAATAATGTAATTACTTTCATGATGTTTGCAGGCAGGAAAAGCAGTGATAGCGGGTAAAGCTCACATTCACTTACGTGATTTGTGTTCCTTATTAGCAAAGTAACTGGAATATAGCAGATGGAGTCCAGAGGGAAAAGGAACTGATAATATTTTATTGAGGTAAAAAGAACAAAACCAGTTCATAGTAAGAGCAGAAAGAAAGAGAGAAGTTTGTCTTATTTACAGGCAGCCATTGGGAGGGTGGGGGGGAGTCCTTTTGAATGCCTTTTCCCTCCAATTCCTCCAACCATCAAATCTCAACCATTTCTCTCACTGACACCTAACTCCCAACTGACTAGAACTTCCAGTCAATCAGAGCCTGTTGTCACCCTGTCAAAAAAGAGAATTAACCATTTAAGTTACACACTTAATGATCCCTAAAAAATGCAAGAATTTCTGCCCCCATTAATATTTCCAACAGAATTCTCCAACAACCCTAGCAATAGGTAAAGTAGTAAACAACATCCTGTCTCTGAATTCCCTCTTTAATAGCCGTGTTCCCACATTCTTACCCTTCAGGACCCACTTTGCTGTACTTGTGGTTCTCTTGCATTGAACAGGTGTAAACCGGGACTAGGATCCAGTGGAATCTTAGCACAAGTGAAGTGCACTTCCATTCACAAATTGGGGGCCTATGATTCATACCCATCCTTCTCTTCAGCTGCAGCCTCTTGACTCTTCATGCATAATTCGTGATTACCTCTTGGACCTAAGGAACAGCTTGAGCTCTGTGTACAGGGGTGCTGTGATGGACATAGAATACAGCAAGCCAGCCGTCAGACCAAGTCAGACTATTGGTCCATTTGCTTCTTCAGGGACTTCTAATGGCAACTGCCTGTCCAGATAGACAGAAACCAATGCTGGATTGCCTATTGCAATAGAAATTTATATATGTGAGTGAATCTATCAGAGTTTATGCCTCTTCAATTGCTGTGAATTCCCTAGAATGGCAATGGATGGGCCACCTACCCTCAATCTACACTAAGGTTCTTGGAGGAGAGTCTGGTACCCCCAAGAGGAGATCTGGGCATGTTTGGAACCACTGCTCTACACCACTAAGCCCTCACAATACAGTGGTCCCTCCGTTGTTGAATGTTTTGCAAGCCGAACAATTCGGAACCCAAAAGCCGACAACACGGAAGTGAATGTTTCTGTCTTTGAACGCACCTCAGAAGTCAAATGGCTTCCGAGGAGCGTTTCTCCATTTTTTGAAAGAAATTTGCCGACTGGCAATTGTGCCTCAATTGTTGAACGTTTTGGAAGCCAAACAGTCTTCCAGAATGGATTACGTTCAACAACCGAGGTTTCACTGTACAATGGTCTTCCATGTTTCCAGGTCAGACATGTGCACCTTTCCCAGCAGTGCCTATTCTGATTCTTCACTTGGTTCCTGATCCTTTAAGATGAAGTGAACTTTGGAACTTCTGTAAGCGACACAGTAAAGCATGCAGTGAAGGCTGATCCATAGGGCAAGTGGAGAATTTTCCCCAAAACCTCCGCTTTCCCTCACAGCCAGTCCAGGAGGTATCACTGCCTGTCAGCCTCCCCTGTCCCTAGTATTGTCTTACAGCAGAATGCAACAAGGAGGAAGATGGGACCAAACTCAAATTGATTGCCTCTGCCTGTTGTTGGTGCTCACTCCACCAATTCTTGATCCTCGTGCCTTCTGCCCAATGGGCACCAGCCACCACTGAAAGCATGAACTCTACCTCTTATCCCTCCACCCCCTGGAATTGCCTATGGCAATATAGCAAATTGAGAGTAGAAGCCAAATTAGAACCAGGGGTCACAGTCTCTTAGCCCATACAGTACATTTAGCTGATGCAGCAAATCCTTAGATTAAAATTTACTTGAGTTGACAGTTTGCTATAAAGAATGGAATGAGCACAATGGTTTCCGGTTTCCTGTTGGTAGAATATATATTTGCTTATTTCATTTTAATAATTCTGCCTCTGGCTGTACAAAAGCAGACAATACAAAATTGCTATTAAATGTTAACTAGAAAAAATATATTAGAATATAAATATCTGCCCCAAAAGGGGGCGGGGAGGGGGGAAAGCATGAGTAAATTGATGTGCTTTGTACCATACCCTGCAGGTTAGCACATGATTTATTAATAGTTATCAATATTGTATAATGTATAGAAAAGCAGGAAGAAAACAAAACGTAACACTATTAAAACTTGAGAGTACTCTAGAGAGGATGAAGTTACAAGAGTATGGTGTTATGCAGGAAGTTTGATTTAAATCTTGTACGTGCAGGTTTTTAAAATAGCTCCTCCTTCTCTAACTTCAGTTGAGACATTTTCTCCACCCTCAATCCAAAATTCTTTCCTATCCATTGAGCTGGAATTATGTTTAGAAACTACATACCATAGATTCCGGCATATTAGACGACTGGGCATATTAGACGCCCCCCCCCCCCCAAATTGGCAGCTGCCAATTTGGTGGTTCGTCTTATAAGCCCAGTTGCCTAATATACTGGGCAGTTCTGCGCTGGGATGAAGCCGCCCAGCGAAGCCGGCTTAGCATCGCTGGGCAGCTTCACCGGGTAGCTTCCACCCAGCACGGAGCCTGCTGCTGCTGCTTCCAAAGCAGCAGTGGGTGGGCTCCATACCCGGCGTATAAGACGACCCCCAACTTTTTAACCTCTTTTCCGGGGTTAAAAAGTCATCTTATACGCTGGAATCTACGGTATTTTGTTAGTTGTTATAAGCTAGTTTCCACATTGGCATAGCCCATGTTTTGCATAAAAAGACTTGGAGAACCACCCTCAGTTAGAATGGATTGCACTCAACTCAATGTATTGCCTTAATATAACTGGTGGTGGCTCATTAATGAGGATGGAGGCAAGAGCAGCCTCCTGGTGGCAGTCCTATACGTGTCTAGAGAGGTATAATGTAGAACAAGGTGGTTGGGGTTAGGTCAGGGGAGCTCTGGATTGGCAATGGTTTCTCCATAGGTGTGTGGGTGTGCATACCTGCAGGATCACCACCACCTAGTGCTCCACCAACCTCACCACCACCTTATCTAGCCCCATTCCAGCAAACGTAGTGCTGCTGCCACTGGGAGGATGTCACTGTCTCTGCTCCCTCACAACCCACTGCTGAATATAAGGGAGGACCTCCTTATATCCCTGTGTCAAAGATTCTTACATAGCTTGAAAGCAATACACAAGGCCCCATAAAGTCTCATCCTATTTTGGCAGCAGCCCTGGTTAGGAATTGAAGGCCCATACTCTTGCAGCTGCTCTAACGTAGCACCAGATGTTCTTGCACAGCAGTTGGGGCTGATGTTCTGCTTGGAAGGGCCCTAGCTCAGTGGTAGAGCATCTGCTTTGCATAAAGAATGACCCAGGTTCAATCCTTGGCAATGATGGCTACCAACATTAAAAGAGGATTCAATAACTCTGTGGATGGGAAGGCTATCAAGGGCTGCTAACCCTGATGACTATGTCTTATTTCCACTGTCAGAAGCAGTATGCTTCTGAATACCAGTTGCTGGATACTGCATGAGGTAAAGCATGGTCATGCTCTGGTCCTGTATGTGCTGTTCCCATAGGCATCTGCTTGGCCTCTATGAGAACATAACACTTGACTAGATGGGCCTGTGAATTCATTATGTTCCTAAGTTCAAGTAGGATCATAAGAGCCCGTCTGAAATCCTAGGGAGCTTCTGCCAAATAGTGTAGACAATACTAACCTTGATTGACCAATGACCTGAGTTGGCATAAGGCAGCTTCCCATGTTCCCAGATATACCTCAGTTTTCAGGAGCTCAATGTCTATGTTGGTGTAAGCGAGAGAAGCAAAGTTTCTAAATTGTGTATGGTCCTTCTTAGTTGTTTGTGAATGCTTTTATGCCGCAGAGGGCCCCGGGAAGGTCTGATGTTAAAAATGCCCCCATTTTATCCCTGTTTATCCCTTCCTCCATATTACGAGGTATGCATCAGGCTCCATTTTCAGGGTGAAAAATGTTGCTTCCCTAGACAGTTATTAAATAAGGTTAGCCACACCGCTAGTCTCCTTAAAGGATATTAGTCGTGGCATGAAAACACCTAATATGTACCCAGGCTTACAAGTTTCATTTAGATGTTCAAGGAAGCAAAAGTGCTGACGTGAAAACATCTATCAGGGCTTTGCACACACACCCCACCCGCATATGTTGGCTTTCTTTATTCACAGCGAGGTGGAAAATGGAAGTGTGGTGGCATTGCAAATTGTATTTCTTCATAAGTAGTAAATATTGTATCTCTTTCTATAATGCTTTTAGCATGGAGTCAACCTGATTCTCAGAGGTGTCTCCCTTTGCTACAGTGACAAACTGAGGCACAAACTTGTTTTCTGTTTGTTTGTTTGTTTAAAGGAGCATTTTTATATTGGTCCAGTGATTTGAGTTTCCATGCCTATAATTTGATTTATTTTTTTGAGGAAGGGGCCGGAAGTGGGGGAGGTATATTGCAAACTTCCACACCAGATACCAGTGTCTTAAGATGCAGCATATGCTAGGTGCCAGGGGCCTTTAAATGAGAACCCTAGGTGGGATTTTTAAATTCTCTGTGCTACTCTGTCAGCTTGCAAGAGGACGACTTGTTACTGCGGCTCTGTTGCTGATGTGTGGGAAGTTGTGTTGCCACTAGGGATGGGCAAATCTGTCAATCTGGGCACCTCATTTTTCCAGTTTAAATTCCAGCTATCCATATTTCCACAATAGTTTGGAAAATAGTTTTCCACAATAGTGGGGTTTTTTTTAATTAGCATGAAAACCCACCAGCCTTTTAATGTGAATTTATTCTAATACACACATGTTTGTATGGAATTTTGCTTAATATTCAATTCAATTCAGTTTGCGTTGCCTGACTTGGAAAGGGCAAAGATGAAAAGGGTAAAACTTCCTATCCTAGTTAACAGTTTGGTGGCAGGAAGGCACTGATGGCTACCATTTTGTTTTCTTCAGAATTGCATCACCATCATTTTATGAGTCACTTGTTACACAGAGCTCTCCAAGTGACTTACAACATATTTAAAAACATAAACCCATTGATATTAACACATCAATACAAAAGTATATGAATTATAATGATCAATTGATTGTTTGGTCACTGCGTAATACTTGTTTGATATCCAATCAGGCTTCTAAATGATTTAGCAAATTATAAAAACCAAATATGCAAATGTTAAAATTAAATGCATGCATATTAAAATACACAGCAGAGTGATTCTGGGACAGTCTGCATCCAACAAAAATGGTCTTACACTGGGCTTATGCCGTTCTGAACAGTCTAAGCATTTGGAGGAGCTATGCCAGTCCAGTGGAAAAACAAGAAACTTCCCTTGACTTCCAGGTTTGCACCAAAACTCGCTGCATCTCATTTGTAAGCAGTCTGGTTTGGTCACTAAAGAATAGAACAGCGGCAAGTGTTGCTCAGCCACTTGAGAATAAGCAATAAAGCAGAAGCAGTGACCTTTCCACAGCCATATAACCCTTGCACACACCGGACATCTAACAAACCATGTCTATCTCCACATAAAGTTTCATTGCAGCTGTGATACCACCACTGATTCCAAAAGCAGCCCAGAATATTGTCTCTCAGTATTGAGCTGTAAACCTCACTTCATTTATGAACTCAAAGCAGTGTGCATCTGTAAATCAAACAGTGGCTAATGAACTAGATGCCTAGAAAACACCAAGATTCTTGTTGGAGCAATACTACTGAAAATGTTTTAATTTGTAGCTTTAATATATGAGACATCTCATAGCAAGTCTTGGATTGTTGTAAGCCCTTCATTCTGGTAAATGCTTAAGAGTGCATCAGATATATGGCATTCTGTGAAGCATTTTTAATGGTGTGTGTTTGTGTGTTGAAATTGTTCCCTTAGAATTTGATGACCACAGCCAGTATCTCCCCCCTTTTGTTCAGGCAAAGTTTTTAAGCATGAAACAGCTGTATGAATTGCATGAGGGGGACACCACACAATTACCAGTGAGTGAACAAATGAATCTTCCTTATCCTGGATCAGACCATTGGTTAGGGATCTAATAAGGCCATACCTGTTGAGAGAACTTAAGGAGGTACTGATGTTAGAAAACAATGCCAAACAAACCAACAAAGAACACCAGACTGCCCCATCAGATGGGCTTTTCTAGCTCTCACTTCAGGGTCTATACTCAGTGTCCCAATATCACCATCATCATCATCATCATCATCATCATCATATCATCCAGCAACACCAACAATTTAGTTGGTGGAACGGCAATGACAATTTTGCCCCTGTTCCTATACAGTGGCACCTTGGGTTACAGACGCTTCAGGTTACAGACTCCGCTAACCCAGAAATAGTACATTGGGTTAAGAACTTTTCTTCAGGATGAGAACAGAAATCGCGAGGCAGAAGCACGGCGGCAGGGGGAGGCCCCATTTGTTAAAGTGGTACCTCAGATTAAGAACAGTTTCAGGTTAAGAACGGACCTCCGGAACGAATTAAGTTCTTAACCCAAGGTACCACTGTATTTCCACTCACCCACACAATTCAATCATGCCTGTTAAACAACTCAAGGTAATATTGTCTACACCCCAACAAAACCATCCGTCCACCCCCTAAGGTAGATTGCCACAACACCCCAGCGTGTTGAACCCGGGACCTTCCGTCGGTATCGCTCAGGGGTAGATATTTGTGCTTGAAGCCCATCCAGCGTGTGTCCCATAATTAATTGCAATTTATTGCAATAGTAAAATTTACTCCTTTTATTATATATGTTAATTAATTCAGATTATAATTGTAATTATCAATGACAGAATATAACATATTCAGTTGCCAGAAATTGTGTATTTATTCATTGAATTCCTTTACATTTATTTATTTATTTATTTATTTATTTATTTATTTATTTATTTTGCTAGGTACTTACTCATTTAGTACATCAACCAACAAGGGTGCATAATGCTAGCAGGCCAATGGACCTCACCTCAAAACTGCCAAGGCCACACACACATGCACACACACACACTGCAAAGCTGCAATACCCACACAAAACCATCAGCTGGCACTGTTGCACACACACAAGATTTTAACTTCTTACTTTGTAAGGCTGCAATATCTTCCAGGGTCACAAGGTTTGCATGAGAAAGGAATGTTTATCGGCCATTTTACGTCATTAAAAGCTGCTACACACACATTCAACAGAAGAAAGAAAGAAAGAAAGAAAGAAAGAAAGAAAGAAAGAAAACACATGGCTGAGGAAAGTCAGTGCCCTAAATAGGTGAATTATTTATTTGCTAAATTATTAATTTATTTCATTTATTTTATATTACTTTTGAATGGCACCCTTGAAAAAGGAGCTGGAAGAATTGCCATAGTGCTTCCCCTAACTGGCATCCAGTAAAAATCCCAGGAACAATAAGACCACAACAGGGTTAGACAATTGCAATGGGGGGGGGGGGGTAACATACCAAGGAATATTAATAGAATCATGAGTTGTAAGGGACCCCAAGGGTCATCCAGTCCAACCCCCTGCAATGCAGGAATCTCAGCAAAAGCATCCATGACAAGTGGCCATCCAACCTCTGCTTTAAAATCCTCAAAGAAGGAGAGTCCACAACCTCCTGAGGGAGACTGTTCCGCTGTAGAACAGAACTTACTGTCAGAATCGCCCCCCCCCCCATGATGTTGTGTCTTCCTGCAGCTCTCAAGGCAAAATGGCCCTGAGCTCCAGGGGAAGCAGCCTTATGTAGGCTTTCCCCATCTCCTCTGCAAAGGCATGAGCCCACCATACAAACAAGATACTGGGCAAAACCTTGGGCTATACTGCTGCCAGGCAAATACATCCCAAGCTTACTGGGCACAGAAGGAGGCATCTTTTAGAAATGTTTTTAACTGAGATATATTTTTTATAGTCAAACAGATATAACTATTTGAGAAATACATAGGGGGAAGGAGCATAGATCATTGATACAGCATCTGCTTTGCAGGTAGAAAGACAATTTCTAGCATCTGAAAGCATAGCTGAAAGAAGCCCCCTCTCTGAAATCACTGTGGACGATATTGAACTAGACAGGCCATTGCCCTGATTTTGGTTTAAGGTAGCTTCCTGTATTCTTTTGTTACTATGACCTGATAGAGCAGGAGTCTTCTAATGTTCTTTGTATGCACAGCTGTGTATCTGTAACCCAAATCAGGCTAATCTGTTTAGTAAAGTGAAAGAGAGACTGCTAGCAATGGGCAAACTTCAGAAACTTACATGTAATTATTATAATGGAAAACTTGAGTCTTCCTTCAATTTATTTTTTTAAAAAGTTCTTGGACATTTCTGTATGATCAGTTGGTCTTTTGAGAATCCTTACACTTAGATTTCCCACGTGTAATGTAAGAACAAGCCATCATTT